AATATAGGTATATACTAAATTTCAGTCTTTGTAGTGTTAAGCTCTCCTATGCGTTAAGTACTGGAATGTTGTATGCTAAGATTTACTCAATCATAATTTATTCAGATTGTAAATACGATACGAGCGCGAATGCGTTGGTTAACTGACCCTGGTTAATTCTTGCTCCCTTCGTTCGATATCTGCACAAACAGCCTCTCGTAGGCGTGAGCGAGTGCAGTTGCACCAGGAAGGAGAGCGTACGGTCGATCCAGTTGATACGAGCCCGAATTATGGAGAGCGTAAACAGGATTTGATTCTGTTGTCCATTGCCTTTAATTTGTTTGAATTTCATTCGTTATTCAGCGTCAACATCCGCTTCAGCAAATAGTTGAACATTCAGTACGTTTGTATCAGTGGCTTACCGTTAGTGGAAATAGTCACAGTTTCATATTTTCGTAAAAATTAGTTACGACCGGCATCGAGTTTGCCGATTTAAAATTCTATGTAGAAATGGCTACGACGTTTGTCGAAATTCTTCATAAAATAAATTGATCAAACTAATGGCTCGATATTTGTAAGAGTTTTACTTTTCTGTTCGTACATTAGGAGATAATTAAATATTTTGACTTTACAAATATTCGCTTCGATCCTGATACAGATTTCTAATTAACTTTTTCTCGAGGCGTCGTGATTCGATTTCCCTAACGAACCGCGTCGAATTCACAGTTGCACGCTCGAGCAGAGCGGAAACCGAGGAAACCCGTGCGGTCTACGATATAAATCGTCGATATCGAGGAACGTAAGGACGTGACTATGCTCGAAGGTAAACGCCACTCGATATTTCACGCTCCTGCTGCTACACGCAGAATTCTCGCCTGTGTTAACTCGCTCAAGCTTGGCTTGTACGAAATAATCGTGTGCAAACTGTTTCGATTGAACTGCGGATTTTGAGAATATTTTACAAAAAGGAGGCTTCTGGATTTGCGCATGCGGTACGTATTACAAAAAGCTCGAGTGCGATACGCCGATAAACTAAGCAAACACTCGGAACGAACAGCTACTTGTTCCCCCTTTCCTTTCAAATTTTGTATAAAGTGAAATACGATCGGCTCAAGAACACGGAAGGCCGGAGAGAGAATGCTGTTTGAATCATTCGATAAACGCGTGAAAATCAGAGTGCTCTGATAAATTTATCGAGATCCTGTCTCGTTCGACACGCGCTGATACATTCGCCGTCGGGAAGACCTAGTCGTGGTTACATCGATTCACGTTTGGGTCAGTGAGACGAGTCTATTGTGCCACGTGCTGTTATTCCAATGTAATTAGTTTCCAGGTCAAGCGTATCTACGCGTACTTAAATGTAAACGATGCAACGACGGACTCGTCTCGCGTTCTCGACGCTCCGTTCGGTCTTTCTACGCGTAACAATTGATCTAAGCGCTTCTCTCTGTGATTCTCAAATCGTGCGTGCAACTGATTTAGTGAACTATGTACGTACGCTAGTGCTAAAATGCTTTAATTGTCTGTTCAGGGTGGATTCGATTGGTGCCCTCGAAATGATAATTCTTACTCCTATTCTTCAGCCAATTAGAAGTTGTCGGATGCAAACGCGATAAAAAGGAATGAACCTGTTGCACTCCGCGAAAAGAATCGAGACGCGAAAGCTTTTATATTCGCTGGAGACAGTCCAGAAACCATCTCCTTTCGCTTTGTCCTGGGAAATCTACCATAAACTCGATGCTTTCCAAGGAACGCTGTCCATTGGAAATGAGTTTCGGCGTCATTTCTTTCTCCCCGGTTCTTATTGTTCTTTCGTGAAATATATTCCTCGGGGTATGGCTCCCGTTCAGGCAGGAAATCGGTTTCGAACGTTGCATACAATATTTCTGTTCATTAGAATTCGATCGGTATCGCGAGACACACAGGCTTGATAAAATCCCAATTTAAAGACTTTAAATCGAACTTTAACCCTTTGCACTCGAGGCCTTTTGCGCTCGGGCGAACCAGCAATTCCAGACGTAGTCCGGGCGCTCGTAACACAAAAAATGGAACAATTTTTTACAGTCTGCCATTGATAGGGGAAATATTTACAGCCACAAACTGTAGATAGATGTACTTAAAAATCTTCGTTACTTCGTAACTCGAAACATACTACTGTGTAGAAACTCATTATCACTATGTCCATGAGAG